ACGCACCGTGGTCACGGAAAGAATCGGGGAACGACTCGTATACGAAACATGAGAGACAGATCCGGCGCCTCCTCCAACACTTAGGGGAGATGCCTGGCAGGAGGGGGAGACATGCAGCCAAACTTCTTGCGCAGTGGCGACGACGAGCTCGTAAACTGTGGAGAGTGATGGGCAATGCGGTCCCCAACCCTACTCCGACCCCTACTTCCAACCCCAACTCGGCTCCGGCGGGCAGTGCGGGAGGTGGAGGTCGAGGCGATGGAGGAGGAGGAACAACGGTGGTGGATACGACGACGAATTTGGCTGCGACGAGCGGGGCTATCATCTGGGCTCCGACGGACAGTGATGTGGGAGGAGGAGACGGCGGTGCAACAATGGCGGCTACGACGACGGTGGTGGCTGCGATGGGTGGCGACGACGACCCAATTGCGACAGCGACGGGGCAACGGGGGAATACCACCACGACCACACCACTCAGTTACACTAACCCTTGGGAGTGGGAAGGGGCCACCAAGGAGGTAGAGCAGGCGCTATCTGCATGCCTCGAGGGATCCAGACAGGAACGACTCAGGGTCTGGAGGCAAAAACTACAGGCAGACGGGCTCGGCAAGACCACGGCAGCTTGGATACGGAACCAAGTATCGTCTTATTCCAACACGGCAATGCAAGACCCTACACGGAAGGTTTTGCAGGGCTCGACCTACGCTGCCACGAACTATTTCGATCAGGATGCTGTGAACCGTGTCAGAGATTATTACGACCAACATTTTTACGCTTGTGGTCTCGGGAATAACGTGCAGGGATATCTTGATTCTTACCAACAATATCTGGATAGCGCCCGGGATGATATTCAGCAGGCTCAGGACCTCCAACACCACCACGCTCGACATATCTTCGCTACGGCTGGGCCCTTGGACCCATGGAGAGCACCTGAGACAGTTGAGTTTCGACGGATGTTTCACGGAGGAAAGGCCCACGGCCCCGACCAATGGTGCCCAGAAGAGCTGATCCTTCTACCAGACGACGCCCTCGTGGAGCTGATTCACAACTGCGCCGAAGCTGAACAACACGGCTGGCCGCCCCAGCTCCTGCAGTGGAGACAGATACACATTCCCAAGGATGAAGCGGCAACCATGCCGGTACTGACGCGACTCCGTCCCATAGCAATCGCGAGCGCGGTTGTGAGAGCCTGGCATCGCTGGAGGGCTGCTCAGCTCACCGAGTATCTCCAACCTGTTTTCCCTGACACGCAGGGTGGGGGGATGAAGGGCCGCACCCTCGAGCAACTCATCGAGCCGTGCCTCTCCCGGCTCGAGGAGACGATCACCGCCAACAGGCTGGACGACACGTTTAAAGCGACCCCAGAACAGCAAGCTCTCCTTCAGCAGCGCCGGGGTGAGCTGCACGTCACATCTTGGGACTACGAATCGGCTTTTGACCGAGTCTCCCCGCGCCTCGTCGGCGCGATATGGCGGCATCTGGGCGTCCCAAGCGAGATCACCAACAGCATTGTATACGTATGGGAACACCAGGAGCGCTGGATTGAGCTGGGCCCTTTCCTCTCCGACCAATCTATACTCGTCTCCAACAGCCTGCCTCAAGGGGACCCCGTTGCTATGCTGGCGATGGCTACGGTTCTGGTGGGACCACTGCGAAGAATCGGCATCATTGCTCCGACGGCCACGTGCTGCACTTACGCGGACGACCGGACCGCCATGACCGACACAGCAGAAGACATGCAGCGCATACAACAAGAATGGGACCACCTAGAGAGCTTGACGGCTCTACGGACCAACCACGCCAAGACGCAGAGCTTCACCATCTACCCAGATCGTTGTGGAGCCGCACAGCTGACTTGGATGAACATGAAGATTCTGGGCCTGGATCTCAATCTCCACAGAGCCCGACTGACCAACAGGGAACACCGCAAGTTCCTGGAAGGGTGCGTGCGACTCCGACGGATCGCCTCTCTGCCTCTGTCGCTACGACTACGACGGCTTGCGGTTACTGCGATGGCATTACCTGTGTCGACATGGGCGCTGGTTCTCACACCGCCTACGAAAACTATGATCAACACCCACCAGCAGTTGGCACGACGGGCGGTGTCTCTCAGGAGGTGGAGGGGTGCGGCCCCAGAACTACTCCGCATGCTTCTCATGGGGCATCAGGCAGACGTGCGGTACCACCTCTGCCGAAGATCCTTACAGCTACTGCGGTGGCGGCTGCGCCGGCAGGGACAGGATGCCCTCGCCTTCTGGGACCACGCTGTCACGAGCGCGCAGACAAAAGGACCGATCCTCGCTTATAAGGCGCATCTGGCTACCATTGGTGCCCAACAGAACGACAACTGGGAATGGAGGGGACCTCAGGGAAGCCTCCGGCTCACCGACGGGACAGGCAAGCAGCTACACGAGCTTCGCCTGATCCCCCGATCCAACGAATGGTCTGTGTTACAGAACAAGACTCGCCGCGAGAGCCCTCTGGCGGCGTGCGCTCCCTTTCCGACGGCTGCCCTACGGGTCGCCCAGGACGCACTACGGACAACTCCTGACTTGGCTTCGCACATCACTGCGGTATTGTGCGGGTGTGCTGTGTCGGACGCCCTCTTGCAATCCCACACGACAGGAGAGGTATCGGATAAATGCGACCACTGTGGCGGGCCATACGTGCCCACGCTCGAGCACCACTACTGGGAATGCGCTGCCAACGACGACCTGCGACGGGGCGTTGCTGTGCCGACAGCTGGCTTGACCCGCCGCCTGGGCTGGCCCACGACAGAGCTCACCAGGAAGACAGCAACAACGACCTGGCTACCTATGGTGTTCACCAAGGCACGGGTACGGCAACGGGTATTACACGCTCGGTTTGCCACGACACATGAAGGGGGAAGCCGGGTGCGTAGGAACACTACCCTACAGCCCGGGAGGGAAAACCCATAAATACAACGGGGACCACAACCATAATTGGGAACACTGCCGTTGGGGACACCACACACTGACGTGACATTGGGATTGCATGTATTGCGGTGCATTACTTTTGTTCTGCCGGGAGGGACCGCTCCCATTATCCCACGGTCGCCGAGGTCATCCCTCGTGGCGCTGTACGACCAGCGCTTCCGGTTCAACCCCCTCAAACTGTTCAAGAAAATTAATGGTTGTGGCTCTCTGCAATGACATCTCCTAGTTCACCCTGGGCGCCCGCTATGATTCATATGTCTCCTCCTGCGTTTTCCCGCCACCCCTTGCAGGCAGCGTTTCTGAATGGGCTGGCGGGAACTCGCAGAGCGTGGGGAATGATCAAACGCTGACAGCCATGACTGCGCTACAGTTGGTCAAATGGCCTTGCCCACGGAACTCGGAGCAGCTCAGCCCGCCTTCTCATTGGCAACCCTGGCCTGCCGCTTCTGCCAAGACCCCTTGCCCGCTGGGCGGTCGTCGCCATCGTCGGCGGCGACGATGCCCCACCTCCTCTTGCTGGAAAACGGCGGCGAGCCCTTCTTGGCAGGCGTGTCAAGGGCACCTTAAGGACCCCCGCCATCCATCACGCTCGCGGCTATTTGTCCCCCAACTACCCCGTGGCCCGTGGCCCGCGGCGTTGGGTCCTCGTTCCCCAACATCCCGCATCGTTGGGGCCACGCGTCAAATCCGAAACGCCCCGCGTCGGACCAAACAGGAGGTCCAGACAAGATGGGAGAACCAGACCAGCCAGGAGTGCCAGACAAGACGGGAGGCCCAAACAGGACGAGAGGGCCAGACCAGACGGGAGGACCAGACCAGACGGAAGGACCAGACCAGACGGGAGGACCCGACAGGACGGGATAGGATAGGATAGGATAGGGTAGGAGCGATCGCGAAGCGAAGTGACATTGCCAAAATCACTAGCTGAGCACGCGCGCGCGCCAGAGAGCCAAGCCACAGCAACGAACTGTGTGAGGGGTGCGCCAAAATGGGGCGCCGCCGCCATGCGGACCCTGCCACGGTGGCCGTCGGTGGCGCTCCCTACAGGGCCACGAGTCGTTGGCGGGGGTCAGGGTCCAAAAACACAAAGGATTTGCCACATTTCTGAAATTCGGTGGCACCCCTCAGGGTGCGAAAACACAGGGGAGTTGCCGCATTTCTGAAATTCGCTGGCACCTCTCACGCAGATAGGCGGGGTCAGGGTCCATAAACACATTAGACTTTCCACATTTCTCACATTCGGTGGCACCCCTCTGACAGATCGGCGGAATCAGGGTCTGAAAACACATGGGGATTTGCCACATTTCTAAAATTCGATGGCACCTCTCACGCAGATCGGCGGGGTCAGGGTCCGAAAACCTGGGGGATTCTCAACGTTTCTGAAATTTGCTGGCACCCCTCACGCGGATCGACAGGGTCAGGGTCCAAAAACACAAAGGATTTGCCACATTTTTGTAAAAATTCGGTGGCACCCCTCATGCAGATCGGCGGAATCAGGGTCTAAAAACACATAGGGATTTGCCACATTTCTGAAATTTGCTGGCACCCCTGACGCAGTTTGGCGGGGTCAGGGTCCAAAAACACAGGGGATGTGCCACATTTCTAAAATTCGGCAACACACCCTCACGCAAATCGGCGGGGTCAGGGTCCAAAAACACAAGGGATTTGCCACATTTCTGAAATTCGGTTGCGCCCCTCACGCAAATCGGCGGAGCCAGGGTCGAAAAACAAACATGTCCCGACACTGCTTTACAGCGGCGCCCAGACCTCATGATTTAGCTTTTGAATCTCCCATTATCCAAGGGGGCCGGCAGCATGGGAGCGAAGCCCTCACGGATTAAAAAGAGGAAGAGAGGGTGGAAGGAGGAGAAAGGATGATGGAGGAGGAAGGAATGACAAAAAGTCGGAGGAGGAGGGAGGGAGGGAGGCGGAGAAGGGAAGGACGAGGGAAGCAGGGGGGATGAGAGACGCGGGCGGGAGGGGGGATGAGAGAAGCAGGAGGGGGATGGAGGGAGGGGGGGGGAGAAGAGACGCGGGCGTCACAAATTTATACTTCATGTACAGGTTCGTGAGAGGCTCGATGACGTTCGGCACGGCCTGCGGCGCGGTGCCCGGCGGGGGGGCGGGTGGGCGGGGGACCCAAAGGGCGACGCTGCCCGCGCCCCTTTCGGTCCGGCGCTGCCTCAGCCCCCCCCCAGAGCGGTGCTGAGGGGCAAGGGGCGGGGGACGTTCGAAGGTTCGAAGTTCGAGGTTTGAGGTTCTCGGGCGTTTTCGGTTCTTCCCCGCAGCTTTCCAGCCCTTGGGATCCCTTCTGGCGGCTGCGCCTCGCCAAGAGCCTCCCCGGTGTGCCCAGATCGGCCCGGACGACTGCCGCAGGCCCGAGCCATGACCCGAAAACCGAGAGGTGACCGGCCCAGGGGGGAGCATCGACCTGGCATCGGCGATGCCTCGCCGCTGGATCGGCGAGAGGCCACCGATACACGTCGGCCGGAAGAAGTAGGTGAGAACATGAAGTGGGAGGGCGGAGTAGGTTGATTGGGGCCAGGCCCCCCCGGAGAATTACAGACCGCAGCAAAAGCGTGTCGATTCCTGAAGTGGGAAGGCGCCTGAAGTAATCTGGGGTCTGGAAATCCAAACATACCTGCTTTCAACGACCGGCGTGTAGCGAATCCGAACGCTCACGGGGAAAGGTTTGCGCCACCGGGCCTCTCGGCGATCCGTGAGCGGTCGCGGGTCGATGCCTCCCCCCTGAGCCTGTCGGCCCCTGGCGTCGCCCCGGACGTGGCCTTCCTTCCTCGAGTCGGCTCCCGGGCGGCCGTGCGGGACGAGCCGGGCACCCCCCCGGAACGCCGTCGGCGAGGCACAACTGCTGGGGGAGCATGCCGAGGCTGAAGGCCGCCGGGAACTGGCGAAAGCGCGTGGAAGAAAAAACGCAAACCTGGGACCCAAAATGTTCCCCCCCCCTGAGCCTATTCCTCCTTTGAACGCCTCACGTTGCCCCTGACTCCAAAGCGGTGCGCACTGACGGAGCCTGGCCTCGGAGCGGTAAGGAGAGGCAGGGAATCCCACCATCAGGGCGGTGGCAGGACTGAGCTGGGTTGGATCGCGACGTCGGATCGGGTCGGAAACGGATCGGATCGCCAGCGGACCGTCCCGAAACGAATCGGAATGGGATCGCCGCGACCAGCTCTGGCTTGCCACGGCCGATGCTGGTGAATCGAAAGAATCGGAATAGAAGCCCCTGTCAGCGAGTCGAACCGCGTCGACTCGGATCGTAGGCGACCCTGCCAGCCCTCTGGGCGGAGGTGGTACAACGGTTCTGCTCTTCTCTCTTCCAAACACCTTCCTTCCCCTTTTCGGGAACTCCCCCTGCCACCACGTCGCATGACTCCCCCCCCTCGGCTAAGCAAGGTTACCGAAAGGACTGTGATCCTCCTTTACTCGTCTGCATTACACGTATGTTCCCGCTGCCGCTGCTTCCGTAGCTGCTGCTGCTGCTGCTGCTGCTGCTGCTGCTGCTGCTGCTGCTGCTGCTGCTCGCGGAACTCCCGCATACAAGTGCTTTGAACTGATCAGCGACCTCCTATGTGCCAGTGTTGCGGATTGCTCCACAACTTCCCGCTCACTCGCGCTTCGGAATGCACGTCGAATTACCCCCCCTGGTGCTCTGAAATGCTGCACGAACTCCCTCTTCTTGGTGCTTTGAAATGCTCGACGAGCTCTCCCGTGCTGCTCAGGAGGCACCAGGGACGCACTCGAGTGTTGAGGGTTGAGGAGGACTGCTGGGACTCGTGAGAAGCCCTGGTGGGGTCGTCTGGCGGGCCCTGTTGGTGCTCCGTGGGGCCGTTTGGGTGCTCTGTTGGGGCCTCTTGAGCTCTGGAAGCCCTCCAAGCGCCGCCTTGGAGCCAACCCAGACATCGGGCGCTCCAAATGTTTCGATGCGCAGATCCCTGGAGGTCTGGATAACTTCCCCAAGGCCAGATGTTTGAATCCTGGGTTGTTCCCCACCCGACAAGTTGGGGCTTTTAGATTTCAAAAACAGGTCCCCTGGCCAACCCCACCCTGCATACTGCGGCCGCCAGAACCCAAACTGTCCTGATGGTCCCGGATGTCCCACCTGGGACCCGTCCAACCCCAAAATGTCCCGATGGTCCTGGGTGTCCCGCCTGGCGGCCGGCCAACCCCACCCTGCATACCGCGGCTGCCAGACCACAAATTGTCCCGATGATCCCCGAGTGCCGAGTGCCCCGCCTCGCGCCCTCGACGAACAAGACAGAACAGAACATGACAGAACAGAACATGACAGAATGGAACAGAGCCTGACAGAACATGACATATCAGCATCATGGCAAAATAGAGCAGAACAGAGCATCACATAAAATACCAAAGACGATCATTGTATAACGGTAGACGACATAACTCAAAATCACAGAACATAGCCGAGCATAACATAACACACCTAGACATAAAATATCATATCATGGCACAGCAATGCAGAACATTATATTTATGCATGCATGTATATATATATATATATATCATACTACGACAGCAAAACATAGCGACGACGGACACGACATACCACAACATAACACAGCATATCATGACATAATAACACGCGATGATGACATATCATGGCAGAACATACCATAGCGATGTTATGACAAACTAGAAGCATAACAAAACCTCAACAACATAACATAGCAAACCATGACATAACAGAAGACGACAAAAGCTTGACATAACATATCAGAACAGGACACAGCATCACAGAACATATCAGAACGCGGCAGCCAAGCATAGCGACGACGGCTACGACAGAACACAGCATGACAGAACAGAACACGACTGAATAGAACACGAGGATGACATACCATGGCAGAACAGAACATAGCGATAGCATGACAACACAGAGCATAACAAAACATCACAACGCATACCAGAGCAGAACATGACTCAACATAATACGACAACATACAACGTAACGTAACATACCGAGCATGCCATAACACGCGTTGACATAACATATCAGATCATGGCGCAGCATCACCGAACATATCATAATGCAGCCGCAAAAGCAAAGCGACGACGAACACATCATAACACAGCATGGCACAACAGAACATGACAGAGCATAACATGAGCATGACAGACCATGGGACATCATAACATAGAAATGCCATGACAAAGCAGAGCATAACAAAACAGCACATGATGTACCAGAGCAGAACATTACATACCATAATACTACCGGACACAACATAACATACCAGAGCCGAGCATAACACAGCACACCTTTTTTTCCGACGGAAACGCATCAGCCTGGCGCGAATTTGTCTGGTCGATTGCCCACGGGTGCGCACGCAAGGTGGAATGAAATAAACGGTCACCTCCGCGGTGAACAGAAGGAAGCTGCACTGGGGGATCTCGCGCCAGAGACACAACCGCCTCGCGCGCACTTGTCTGGTCGATTGCCCAAGGATGTGCGCGCAAGGTGGAGAAACCAGCTCTTGGAAGTGAACAAATACATCAAATTCACTGGGCTGACCGCAGGCGGACGTCACCTGCAAGCCAGCATTACAGCCTGACGCGCCTTGGAGCGAACGGCACACATACTGAGGCGCCGACCAATCCCCTTTCTGAACATTCGAACGCCAACAATGAAACTCTCTATACGATATACATATATACACCGAAATACATAGATAATTGAAGGCCTCTCAATGCGCGTATCCATGGCGTGTAAATTCAATCCTATGCTATGAAGCGGCGGACCATGCCAAATCACCTGTCGTGAACGGCCCCGTCTTCAGGGAGAAATCTGACTTAGCCGATCAATGTAGGTACCGGCCGTAAGATGCATTCCCACACCTCCTTCAGTCATCGCACTATACACCTTTTGCCATGCAATGTAGAGCTTCAGGCTCTCTAAAGGTAGCCGCCTGCAACACGAGTGCCTAGAAACGCCACAACCTGGCGCAAGCCAGTCTTCTGCGACCGAGGCGGACGTTCACTTAAAACGCCCCACGACTAAAGCCGTGTTGAACCACAATGAAGGGCCGGCCTGATCAACCCACGCATCAGAGGAAAGAGAGTCTTCGAGAGACAAGAGCAAACAAGAGCTACTGCCCCCAGGCAAACGCATGCGAGCGGTGGCCATCCGAAGCTGATCAAATTTTCGATGTCAAGCAGGGAGCGCAGGCAATCCTGCCCTCCGCTCACAAGCCCGACGAGTAGTTCAGTGAAACGATGTGTTACATCCTAGCCAACGGCACCAGGCAGTCCAGCCATCGGTCAGTAGCTTCCAAGAGGAGGGGACATCGCGCGAGGCACTAGTGCCAAATTCGCACGAGCCTCTAGCGTCCGCATGGTCACTCGTGAGATGCGAGGAACTTCGCCTTCAGCCTTACTCTTGGGAGATGAATGCATTCAAGCAGCAGTGTCATCCGAATTCGCTCCCGCAACTATCGTATCGCAACTTCAGCTACCAGCTGATTGGCTTAAAACGCCATCGAAGCGAAACGTGAAACCTATTCATGTAGCTAGCTAACAGATGTCTGGTCTTCATTCTTCACGTGTGGTCCCATGATCAATTAAATTCGCGCCGTTCCAAATCAGCTGCAGCTCATTCGAGTTGAGCGCTCCCATTACTTACTGTACACGCAAGAGGCCCGACGTCGAACTCGCGATGCTAGGCTTGGCGCTTGGCAGTGTTCACACGGACGTCCTAAGCCTGCCCATCAGCGCCCAGAGCTGCAACCATCACCTTCTTGTTCACAGTCTGCTTGAACAGGTTGATCACAGTTTCCTCGTCGCCCTTGTTCGTGAAGTGGGTCTTTTCGAAACCCTTTCTGAAGCCCTCGACTGCGTCAACTTCTAGCTCGGCAGCTCGCTCGTACATTCTCCACGCGGAGGGGCAGATGCAAGCGTTCGTAATGTTGTCGAAGCTGAATGCGAGAGAAAACTCGAAGAAGCACCAGCCCCGCGAGAAATACTCTGTACCAGCAACGACCTCGTCGTCCATGGGCAGGGCGACCACTGGAGTGTTACCCATACTGTAAATCAATTCCATCGATCCGAGAGCCTTCTTGAACAAG